TTTTGGAGGTGGTGTCACCCCCGCTTAGGGGGCTGCACGTGCTAACGTGATTTTTTGCCAAACTTGTGTCCCTCTCGAAAACAAAATCGACGGGTCTGAGCGTTTTTCAAAAAAAAAACCTGAGCTGCCAGTAAATGCGTCTGTTTCGTTTTCGATGCGCCACCCTGTATACTCTTAAATAACCTAGAGCAATGCTTCCCCGGAGCACACTTCACGTTGTATGCGAACCATGCCTCTATCGTTATATCTACCAAAGACGAGACAATTTAATAAATAACTGTAACAACTTAGTGTACAACATCAATGGCTGGTTTATAGAAAATTAACGTCTGAAGGAAAATTATTCTTATTACTACTATTATTGAAAATATTGATGAAAAAATCAACAAGGTTTTGGAATATCGGTGTTAGCTTCACGTCAAGATAAAAAAGAATAAGCAACCTGTTCTGACTGTCAGTATTAGTATTACTGTCAAATTACTAGCGTTCGCTATAGTGGTCATAAAAGCTCTTGATTTTCCAACCGTTCCTGTCGCTGTCAAAAATTACTAGTACACACTCACTTATATCGTTAATATGTCCTTTAACCAGTGCGTTGATGCGTTATCTTTTCACGAAGAACAATTGAATGGAATTGGAATGCTCACAGATATACTTAGTTATGCCATAAACATATATAAACATATCACGTGTACAGAGGTCGCGGCGTTTATTCGCAAAAATTAAGATTAATGTGAGAATTTTAACAGTATTTTGAGTCACACTGAGGCATCTTAAACAATGAAAATATTTAATAAGCTCTCATCACCTATATGTGCTATCTAATGTAGAATAGATTGAGTCGGTCATGGTCAATTTATACAGGGTGAAAATGAGAATATGTTTTTTAGATGTTGCACAACATCACGAAAAAGCATGTTTATCATTTCCGACGGTATGTCTGTCTGTTTGTGCTAGTACGAGCAGAAAAAGTGAAAATAGTTTTTGCAGGTCTATTGTAAATTGGTGTTCGGGGTTGTACGGAGTGTGGATTGCAAATGTTGCAACTGTGATATTAGTAAAAAAACGTTCTTCTAAGTTCATTATTACGCATCTGTTAGATCTATTAGTCATACCCAGGATGGACCAGAAAGACGTACGAATTTCAAAACCGCAGTGCTCGTGACAGGCACGCGGAAGCAGAACACGGGTAGTGGGGATAAGTAGATCGGTGCTCGGAAATTTAGTCGCCATGGAGCGTTTTAGCGGTGAGCAGCATGCGTTCTGTGTTAAGGCTTATTACTGAAACGGAGATTCGGGCACTATTGCCCGGCGTGTGTTTCATTCTGAGTTTAGTTTACTTGATCTAAATCAATGTCTCAGTGAAAGATTTCGTGAATGTTAGAGTCTACGGGTTCGACACTGAATCAGAAACCGGCGGGGCGTCCAAGATCAATACGAACAGAGGAAACTGTGAACGAAAGGATATTCCTAAATACCTGACACGTTATATGCCGCAAGTAGCTTCATATATACCAGACGTATCGGCGTTATGTACCCGACGCGTTATCCACTCGAAGTACATAGCTTCATTCATATAGGTATTATAACGGGTGATTTTTTAAGAGGTATAGGATTTGATTTTCAAAAAAAAAACACCAAAAATTTGAAAAAATGATTAGATCATTATTTGAGTCGATAGAACGATCGGTATAATTTAATGTTTAAAGATTATTTCATGTAAATGTTGGCCGCGGCTCCGCTTTAGATGGCCCATGCGCAAGGTCCAATTTTGGCACACTCTCTCCAACATATCGGCCGGTATCTCACGAATAAATGCTTCAATATTGGCTTCCAGTGCGTCAATCGTCGCTGGTTTATCCCTGTTGACATTAGCTTTAACACGGCAACACAAGAAATAGTCCAACGGCGTTAAATCACACGATCTAGGCGGCCACTTGACGGGCCCCAAACGTGAGATACTGTTCACCGAACTCGCCTCTCAATAGGGCCATTGTTTCGTGTGCGGTGTGGCATGTGGCACCGTCTTGTTGAAACCACATGTCAGCCAAATCCAGATCTTCCATTTTGGGCAAAAAAAGGTTTGTTATCATCGCACGGTAGCGCTCGCCATTCACAGTTACGTTCCGGTCATTGCCGTCTTTGAAGAAGTACGGCCCGATGATGCCACCGGCCCCTAATCCACACCAAACAGTGATTTTTTCGGGATGCAATGGTAGCTCTTGCAATGCTTCTGGCTGGTCTTCACTCCAGATGAGGCAGTTTTGCTTGTTAACGTACCCATTCAACCAGAAATGAGCTTCGTCGCTGAACACAATTTTTCGATAAAAATGTGGATCTTCCTCTAACTTTGCCAGCGCCCATTCACCAAATTGGAAACGTTGTGGGAGGTCGTGTGGCTTCAATTCTTGCACCAGCTATATCTTATAAGGTTTTACACCTAAATCCTGTCGCAAAATTTTCCACGTAGTGGAGTAACAGAGGCCCAATTGCTGCGAACGGCGGCGAATCGACATTTCACGGTCATCACTAATACTGTCGGATACAGCCGGAATATTTTCTTCAGTTCTCACTCTACATCTGCTTGTTGGTGGTTTAATGTCCAATAATGTAAACTGGGTTCGAAATTTAGTCACAAGCTTCCGAGTAGCTCCCTCAGTAGGCCGACCAAATTGCCCATAAATTGGAAGCAGTGCTCGATGCACTCTCTTAACCGAGCATGAATTTTGATAGTGAAATTCAATAATTTGTAAGCATTGCAAACTGAACAAGTTTGACAATGACACAAGACACGATTCACGCGTCATCTGTCAAAAACAGTGTTGCCAAAAAGATACTAGCAAAAAAATCACCCATTACCTGACGTATCAGACTAATTCATCATTTATTTACTAGTATAACAACTGAATAAAGCAAAATGATTATTTATTTATTCCTTTACATTTTGTTTACCATAAACTTTACAATGGGAATGCCCTATGTTACTGTGGCGTAGTATTAGTAGATTTGCGGTAATAAAACAGAAATGAAAAAAGTTAGGCACCATTTTTTTATAGTACCTACTATAGTAGTAAGAACTCACTCAAGTCGTTTACGTAGGTAAAATATGCAATGTTCATGATTGATATCAGATTGCAAGTTCTGCTTCATATACTTCAGAATCAGAGGAATAGGTGGGACAGCAAAATAAAAGAAAATAATCTTCCTTCGATCTAAATTTGGACATCATATATTGAATATCATCCAATACCATCTAGATTTCGAAAAGCTGTTCACATCCTTGAATTTCAGAATCAAATGATTAAGAGGCAAAAGATAAATACCAGACGTATCACCACGATACGTCAGGTATTTACCGAACGCTCCAGAGCAACCGAAATATCTCGAAAGGATATTCATTCACTAATATGCTGAGCGAAGTTGCGACGTTCGTACGGCGCGATCCACAGTTATCCCCCGAAAGAGATCATCTGAGCTCGCCAGGTCAAGAACATATGTACTGTACTGCAGGACCACCATCTACGCCGTGCGATTGCCGAAACAATGTTAGAGCACTTTCCAAATTTAAACAATATTCTCTTATGAAGCTCATTTTCATTAGAGTCGATCTGTCAACAAGCAAAATTATCGGTACTGGGCCGCAGAAAATCCCAAATTAAAACACCAACGACCTTTGCATTGGCCATGTCGGCTGAAAGAACCATCGGACCTTACTTCTTCGAAAACGAGCAAAGCACACTGTAACTGTACATGTGCCAGCGAGTTTTCACGAATTTGAAGTCGAGCTTCGAGGAGGGCGTACGTCTCGATAGCTCACATCTCAATGATTTTATTATTTTAAAATAAAATTCCCATGTGTCTATCTCATTAAAAATATAAATTATCTTCCCTACGTTTTGTAGTTTTTTCTATGATTTTTTGAAATCTGCTCAACTTAATTACCCACCCTGTATTTCCATCCATTTTAGATAGATTTATTTTCTAAAGTTTTGACTCTTTTTGAGTATTATGAGTATACTTTTGGATAGACTCTATCCACTTATTTGAAAAGGGAAATTCTGAAATTGCACTATATGGGAAATTTTGTATCACATCTACGAGGTCTGTAAATTAAGTGATGAGACTGATTTTTTTATTCAAATATAATTACAAGTTTATACTGTCACCCTTCTGAAGAGACACAGCGCTGGAGACGGTTCTTCCACTCTTGATAGCAGTGCTGGAACTTCGATACTGGAATAGCCCTCAGCTGGTCGGTTAGAGCCGTTATAATGTTTTCGACCGTCCCAAAATGAGTTCCCTTGCGGTGATTTTCCAACTTCGCGAAGGGAAAAAAGTCACAAGGACTAAAGTCAGGCGGATAAGGAGGCTGAGGAGCCACAGGAATGTTTTTTACTTTCCAAAAACTCATTTATTGACAACGAGCATTATCGTGATGCAGCCCAGTTATTCTTGAACTGATGAACAGTGGTGTGAGTCAACTTTAACTCTTCCCCGATCATTCTAACTGTCAACCGACGATCTAAACGCACAAGATCTCAGATTCTGTCGATATTTACATCAATTCTTGAAGATGAAGGCTTTGTGGTCCATCTTCTGAAAATGCCTAAAACCACCGAAAAACCTGAGATTTTGACAAATGACTATCTCCGCAGGCCTGCTGAAGGTTAGCTAGAGTTTCCGGTGCACTCAGCCCAAGTCTGAAGCAGAACCGTTGCTAGAAATTGATGTCATTCATTTTTAGAACACAATAGGAAAAAATGTTTCGCAAAAAATCACTACGGGTAACCAAATGACTCGAGCGAGTTCAAACTTGTACTGAAGGCGAATCACATGTTCTCCTATCTCCCCACCAAGCTCGGCACCTTCAATGTCGCCAATCGTCATTACTTAATTTACAGATCTCGTACTTGACCTTTTTCCTGCAGTGCATTTTGTTGTTTCGATTTGTTTACTGTTTCAATGAGAGATCCACTAATTTATTTGTTTTCTTCAATCAGATTTTCACAATTTTCGCCACCCTGCTCCAGCTCATCCCGGTCGCCCCTGCAATTCGTACAGAAGAAAACGGGAAATACCTCGACCCAACGAATTCAGCTCAAACCGCACGAAGACGTCGACCATTTGGAGGTGGAGGTTCCTCTTTACCTGCAGGGTGTCAATTCAGGAGGCAGCCCCAACGAAAACAAGAAGGAATGGGCAGGTTCTTGTTGGATCTGGCTTACGTGAACGTTGCTAACAATTATCAGACGAACATACTTTGTGTGCCAGGTGGAGGAGTGCCTCCTCATGAAGGGGGAGGTAATGCGCCTGTTGTAGGAGGTTCTGGACCTACATTAGGTGGAGGAGGACATAAACCAATACTCCACAAACCCATACTGGGAGGTACGTATTAAGTCACTGAATTCAAACTGGATGTGAACAAAATGTTTATGTTGTACAGAAAGCATTTTTTACTTACACTATCTTATTCCTGGTTATCCAGACCGTTCTTTTATACCGAAGCAGCCGCGTATGCATATGCCTAAACACCGGGACACCGGGGCTGTTATAAGGAGCTTAAATACACCCTTTTAATCCAATTGTTGAACTGCCTAAGCTTGGTAGAACTGGGAGAAGCCTCTTTAGTCAGATCGTTACAATCTCGATGCCTTAGGGCCGTATTGCTAGTCGTTCCTACAATTGTAGGACGCCTTTATGGCCTGCATAATTTTCAGTTTTTGAATTCATGTTCAAAAATAAGACCTAGCCTGACAATAGGAGAGCGCTGACGCTGACATGGAACAGTAGAAATCTAGAAAATCACAGCCTTTTTGAAGGAGAAAAAGGACTATGAAAATTAAGGTGGCCGTAAAGGCGTCCATAATTCTGGGAACGACCGACGATACGGCTCTTAGGGACAATGGAGCGCTCGTATCGACCAGTTCTGGATGTACGCAGTTCGAACACGGTTAGGATGGGAGGCCAAAGTCAGGCGGGTCTGTATGGCAGGCACATCGCGCGGCGGCAGCACGAAAGAGGAGCAAAGCCCATTGACGTAGAGGTAGAAGAGAACGACTGCTGCCGGCCCGTCGGTGCAAAAGAGTCCCGAGACTGTCTGTTAGAGAAGAGTCATCGATCAGTCAGACAGTCCTCCTGTGAACAGCATCGAGCTTGGATATTATAGTCGAGGCGGCAGCGCCCCAAACATGTGAGCAGTACTCGGGGCTAGGTCTTATCTGGGCCTTGTACAGACTCAGAAGGTCATGTGTGGCGAATAGTACTTCTTAGCCCTAAGCAAGTACAGTAGCTTAGCTTTTTCCTAGCAGATGCCGCTACTGACGAGATATGCTCGTTACAGATGTCCTCGGTGATCTGAACTCAGACCAGCCAGAAATGAACGGCTCTTTGGTATAACTCGGCTATCCAACGAAACCGGATGAGCGCTAGGACGCTTCAGTTAGTTAAGGTATAGAACTGTGTTTTGGAAGCATTAAGCTGTATAAGATTGTTGCGTCACCAAGCAGCGATAACCTTCAGGTCTCTCGTCAGAGAGGAAGTCGGTGCTGGTCTTATACAGGGTGTCCGCAAAGTTGGGGTTTTCCTTTTCAAAAACAACTACCCTTGAAATAACAAAGGTAATGTGTAGTGAAACAAGGTCGACCAAGTAAAAAAAATAAAGGAAAAGTACTCAGCCTCCAGTTGACGAGAAGGGCTAAGTACGTCTCTGCCCGAAATCATACCGCTCCAACAGAAAATGAAATCAGCTGAAGCGCTACCGAGCAGACGCAAAAACCACATTGATTGTCTTACACCTAATGGCACATCTTCTAACAAGGAAGGCAAAATGTTGCGTGAAAAGTCTAGGTATTGCATCCCGTCCAATCGACTTGGGAGAATAAATGGTCCAATGAGCATACCGTTCACCATGCCAGCCCAAACGTTCACCGAAAATGTTTGTTGAAAATGACCAAACATGAGTGTTGCGAAAGTTATTCACCCCATTAGGTACGCGTGAACGTAGATTCGTCTGTCACCAATATGCACTTCAAAAAGTCCGGATTATTGTCATGTTGATGCAACAACCACTCACAAAATCGCACTCTTGCAGGAAAATCGTCAGGTTGAAGGGCTTGTACACGTTGGACGTGAAACGGATACAGCCCCTCTTCACGCAGCGTTTGCCACGCTTTAGTTTTTGATACTTGCACTTCTCTAGCCATGTCTCTAGTGCTTGTTGTTTTTTGAAACACAATCGATTATACGAGTTCGTTGACCTCTACACGCGTGACTGTAGCCGTCGGTTGAAGGTTGCATACTAACCTGACACACTGACCCCGACCCAGTTCTGCCGTCGGGTTGAGACCTTGTACCAGTCGGGGTGTCGGGGATATCCCGGCGGGTCGCGGCTACAGGACGGTGTTCAGATATTTTTGATGTTGCAGAGCCCTTTACCTCGGTTCCCTTAAGACATTGGTGTATATGGTACTAAGAAAAATTGCTTATGTTTTCAAGATCTACACGTCGTGTAAAGGAAAACCCCAACTTTGCGGACACCCTGTATATAGAGTGCAGTCATCAGCAAAGCTATGAATCAAGTTGATCATTTAGGACAAGAGGTCCTTGATATATAATAAGAGGAAGAGATTAAGCTTCCATGATATCAAGAGCAACGACAAGCGCCTCACCTTATGGCTGAATGAGTTTTCTACACAGTTGCGCGACGTAAGCCATATTGCCTGTCGCTAATCAAGCCGTGACGTTCGAGATTCCTCAGAAGCTCATGATTTATACACCTCTTCACCACCTTACTTATAACAGAAAGCGGAGCTATAGGTCTGTAATTATAAAGGTCGGTCTTAGATCCCTTTTCTGGAAAGGGATGGATATGGGCAGATTCCCAGTTTTCTGGGAAAATACCGGATTCGTAAGGTAGCTGAAAGAAGCGCGACAGACCTGAAACAAGCTCCGCTGCACGTCTCTTCAGTACAATAGCAGGAATCAAGTCTGGACCAGAACCTTTGATGATGTCGAGCGACAAGAGTACGAGTATCCGTCTTAATGTCTTATGCCTCCATGTTACTTCCACTATTTTTTTAATCGAACGTTTCTTTTTTGCTTATACTATCTCGTTCCTAATTATCCAGACCTGACAGATTACACAAGGTAACCGACTGTCTCGAGTGTAAAGGCTAAGTATCAAAGTTTTGATTACATATAAAGATTTTGCTGTGTTGTCTTGTGCGTCTGAGTTTCAAAGCGATGCCTCGAAATCAACCAACGAATTCGAATAAGTCAAATACCTCAACAGTTTAACTAAACATGATGCATCCGTTTATCCGAGCGCAGACAGCCAACCATGAACGTGCTTTTTGGCAACTCGTCAGCTTGACCTTGGCTTGGTCTCTGGGACAAAGAACGAAAGCATAGCAGCTATCCGAGATATGAGATCTGTCGAAATAAGACTGCACAAAACGTCACCTATTACCGGAATCAACCACTGCAAGAGTATGTAGTAGCTATTGGTTGGAACTGTAAGGATCTCAGTTCACCCAGTCACCATTGTGGCCGCTAGAGACAGCTTGCTTAGTTGTTAAAAGGAAAGTAAACCTTTACTGTTCGGCCGGAATCGTCGGCCTCTAGCGGTCACAGTGGTCAAATACGAAGTGTTCAACCGACAAGCGCAGATCCAGGGGGGCAATGGCGCCATATGACCCTCAAGCCTCAAAATTGTAGGAAGAAAAGAGGAGAAAATGGAAAAGAATGGGAGAAAGATGAAAGAAAACTCGATTTGACATGCTTAGACCAAGCTCAGTCCAAGACAATGAAAAAGTTGAACTTGAAAATGTTTACCAAAACATACAACGTTCTCAACGAACGACCTAAAAATACTTTAGCAGGAGAATAACCAGTAGAACAGTGAACAGTATTCCTATATGTCATAAGGAATTGAGCTAATAGTAAATTACAGTTCTTTTGATCACTAACCTTTTTCAATAAATTTTTAACAGTTTTTACGCTATTCTCAGCTGCACCATTACAATGAGGTTCATAAGGCGGAATAGTTATTAGTTTAATACCATTAACATTTGCAAATTGTTTAAATCCTTCTGACACTAACTGGGGACCATTATCGCTTGCAATAGTCTTAGGCAATCCAAATCTAGAAAAAAGTTCTCGCAGCTTTGTAATAGTCATGTTAGTGGTAACAGATGCCATCGGAAATACTTCAAGCCATTTGGAAAAGGCATCAACGACAATCAAAAAGAAATTGTTTTTCTTCGGTTCAAAAAAATCTATATGTATCCGCGACCAAATGCCCTCGGGTATTTGCCAACATTGTAACGGTGCCTTGGCCGGCGATGATTGCAAGCTTTGACATATGTTGCACTGCTTACTAACACTTTCAATATCATCATTCAAGGACGGCCACCAAAAGTAAGATCTCGCAAAATACTTCATTTTAACAATTCCCAAATGGGTAGCATGCAACTCCTTCAATATCACCTCTCGTAACTGAAATGGTATGATAACTCGATGTCCCCAAAGCAGGACATCGTCTTCAACATTGATTTCATTTTTCCTACTGAAATAAGGTTTCAATTCATTACTTTTATGACTTGCAGGCCACCCCTTTTTAACAAAATTGAGTACCTCAGAAAGTACTGAATCTGAGGATGTAAGTTCTCTGACCTTGTTAACATCGACTGGTATACTAGAATCGGAATTAGTGAGATAATTTAAATGAATGGGGAAGTCGATCAGTTGCACAGACATGTCATCTTCAATCGGCATTCTGCTTAAGAAGTCAGCTACATTTTGAATGGATGACACATGCTTGATATCAAAATTGAAGCCACTCAGAAAATGTGCATATCTCTGCAGTCTATTTGCTGCCATCACTGGAACACCCGTTTTAGGTCCAAAAATTGACATGAGTGCCTTATTATCTGTGACCAAGGTAAATTTTCTACCCCACAAATATTGGTAAAATCGTTTAATACTCCAAACAATCGCGGTAGCTTCTTTATCCAAAATAGAGTATGCCAATTCGTTTTTCGAGAGAGTTCTTGACGCATAACAAATTGGCTTTTCGACATCATTTTCAAAAACATGAGATAAAATTGCTCCCACTCCATAGTCCGAGCTATCAATAGTCAAAGTAACTGGTAGGTCAGGATTATAATGCACCAACACATCGTCAGAACATAATGCAAGTTTAATATACTCAAATGAATCCTGACATGTTTTATCCCATGACCAACTTACATCTTTTTTCAAAAGATTATATAAAGGGTGAAGTATATCTGGGAGATTTCTGATGAAACGATTATAATAAGTGATACTGCCTAAAAAAGACTTAAGTTGAGTGACATTTTCTGGTGGAGAAATGTCGCGTATTGCCT